CCCCAGATTTTTAATATCTACGACGTGAGATGTTTGTCTAAACGTATGAGCAGTGAAGCGGAGATGATTATCCACCTGAATTATTCAAGATCGGCGTGTATGTTCTTGCTTGAAAGCATTAGTTTAGTTGAATAGCACTCAAGTATAACAGTTGGGCGAACTGCGTAGGTGGGATGAGTTACACTGTAACCCTGACGGGGAAAGAAAGCCTAACAAGAAGAGAAAGAAGAATCTTAGTGCTGGAGGAAAATCTCCTGGCAGACTGATTATCAAAGAGAAGCCTGAGAGCTGAACCCCTTACAAAAATGGCACGTCTGACAAATAACAGTGAGACAGAACTAGCAAATTTTCTTCGTACTGTTGTTAGCATGGAAAGAGAAAGGCGCTCACGCGAGAGTTTCGTTAGTAATGTGCTCTTCGGCGAGGAAAGAACTCCAGAAAATGGCAGAATGGACGGACAAGCTGAGCCTGAAAACGGCTTCGCTTTGGAGAGGGTATATTACTCCTTTCAAGACGATTCCATGCAAGGATCATGTGATATTTCAGGCATATCAAACATGCCTGAACAAAATACCCTTTCCTTGAGAGAAGATGGGGATAGATCTACCCAAGCGGTGCATATTGGAACGCCCATTCATCCGTTCCTACAACCTCCCCTACAACAAGTGGTAACAGAGTCGAGCCCCTTTCATCGAAGAGCGAAAACTTCCATGGAAGACATCAGTCTAGATCAGCAGAACGCAGTGGAAGAGCTACAAAACTGTACAATTAGTGGAGGAGAAATCCAGAACAATGGCATGCACTATAAAGCACCTTATGTTGGCGACAGCTTTACTGACAAAACCACCACGTTTTTTACAAGACGCTGTGCAAATAATAATTTCACACCGCAACAAATGGTGGGAAAAGGAAACGTTGAATTGTTTACGCCAGAAAGCAGAGCTTTTTTCTCTAGAACAGACGGCCAGTTTGTTTATGAACGTGTTTGTGGGCATAATGAAGATACCGACAATAGCCACTCAATGAGGACAATCGAGAAGGAACCTAATGAAGCATGGATGGCAGATGTTTGTCCTTCCCTTGCCGTGGAAATCATGAAAAATTCTGGAAAGGAATGCAAAGCTTCAAACAACTATTTCAACGACTGTTTTCCTGATTTTTTCAGAAGAAGTCAAGAGACAAATAATTTCACTGCTCAAAAAATGACTGGAAGAGGAAACTCAAAATTCTATAGCCCTAAGGGCAGAACCTGCTCTTCGAGAACAGACGGTCGCCGCTTTGTTTCTAAAAATATTTGCGGGTTCAGTGAAGATACAAACGACAGCCTCATGTTGAGGGCAATTGAGAAGATGCCCAGCGAAGTATGCTTTAGAGACGTCTGTCGCACACCTACCTTAGGAGTCGTGCACAAATTGGATGTAGGAGTTGATGCTACACACAACATTCGTGACAAAGGCACCTCGTTTTCGAGGAGAAATCAGAGGAACGTGCATTTTTATGCTCAACAAGTGGTGGATGAAGGAACCGCAAAACTGTGTCTCCCAGAGAGCAGAGCTTACTCGTCTAGAGCAAACAGTTGCTTTTTCTTCGATCATTTTAATGAAATTACCGACAATACCCTCTTGGTGGGAACGGACGAGGAGTTGCCCAGCGAAGCATGGATGAAAGACATTTCTCAAACCACTGCTGTGTTGCGAAAAAACCCACAACCGAAATACTTTGTTCAACCGAACGGAATGGTCTCATCTGAACGTGCCACTCATCCTGATGTTCAAAATGCAAATGCAGATAACTTTAACGAGCAATCGAATCCAAAAGTGGGCTCAGCTAAAAGCAGGAGTTATAATAAGTCAAGACCATCTCAGCTTGCATCTCATTGCCATGGCAATGCTCAGACGACAACCATGTCCAAGAGATCAGCAGAAGAGTATCATGCTTCGAAAAGCAGAGAAATGAATAGAGCACGCACTCACGAAGAACATCCATTAACAAATGGTGAAAAATTTAAAATGTGCGACGAAATGATGCCGCTAAAACGTTGTAAGACCCACATAAACTATGCCACCGTGAAGGCGAGAAACCCAATCCATTCCATCTCAATGAGTGAGCCCCACCTGCCTCAGATCTCCTCTCAAACAAGCCAGACCCAAACTGTAGAGCGTCTAGTGGATATCTCCAACTGGCCCCTCGAGGATGGTCTGGTTCATCAAAATAGGCTGTCTGCTCCCAACCAAAATCTTACCTATGGGCAAACTGGAATCAACAGGAGAAGTCAGCCTCCTGAATGTGAAAGATTACATGAATTAAGCTTTGGAAAGTCACCAAACACTGAACTCTTGATTTGCAAATCAAAAGATAGCCTGGTCCTAAAGGAACTCCTCTGTTCTAAGAAGGTCTTTAGATGCGACATACCAGGTTGCTCTAAATCCTTTCCTAAACGATCTGCTCTAACAGACCACATGAGAATTCACACCGGAGAAAGACCTTTTACGTGCCCATGGAAGACATGTAAAATGAAATTTAGACGAAGTGACGAAAGAAAGCGCCATTTTCGAAAGCACACTGGGGAAAAACCATATCATTGTCCATACTGCGCCCGGTCTTTCTCTCGATCTGATCATCGGAATTCCCACGTGAAAAAGATTCACAATTACAAACTATCCGTATTTTTTACGAGATTAGAAGGGGTTCACAGAAAAGTGATGCCTAGTTTTCAGCATCCATCGCCACTTCATTGATACATTACTCTTTCTTATTTCTACAGCTCGGGAATCTTTTCCCCGAACTTAGTTCATGTTAGTTGTTTTTATGTCACTTTTTTGCTAGTTGGTACTTTGTGATATATTTGTATATATTATTTTTGTATATATTATTTTTGAAAAGTAGGACCTCGTTAAGCTTCACAACAGCTTCTCGTATTTGAAGGAGAATACCCTTTGTTACCTTATCTAAAGCTCCTCATTATTATACCGCAATTTGCTCTATGCGTACACCTGTAGGGAAGGAAAACTACTTGAGAACTGATTCAATTTTTGCGAATTTCGGTTTGAAGCAATACACGTTTCTTAACATTTTTACCCATAGGAGTGACTAGCATGTAATATCACCCCTGAGTCAAACATTTATGTCAGGAAAATGAAGGAAGTGATCACTAACTTAAGAAGCCCTCGATGTTTGAACAAATTATTCTTGTCGGCCTCTTAGGAAATGTATAAGGAACAGTAAGAAGAATGTGCATGCTGGTGTCAGCGTCTAAAGAGTTAAGGTCGGATTGTACGTCGAGAAAAATCTTGAAAATAGTTGCTGCTCATTATATGGTGATATTGTATCCGCTGTCTTCGTTAAATTTGAACTGTTTTGCATATTGCGTCTAATGATTATTCAGAGATTAGATCTGCATAGTCTAAGCCAAATAAAAGCGGGTTTTGTAGATCGAAATATTATTGACCTGAAATTGCTAATTTCTGTATGAACTTATTGGTAATTTCGTAAATCATGTTCAAAGTTCTTGCAAGAATAAGTAAAACGGTTGCTTTCGACTCTGTTTAAGACAGACACCACTAGGAAAACTGAGGAAAAAAAGCTTTTTGTTCTTTAGAGGCCATCATCTTAAAGACGCCAGCAAATGTGACACTGATTATAAGGAGACCCTTAAGATGAACTGATATGCAAATGTATATACTTTATGTTCATGTTATCAAGTAGCTATGTTGACAAAATTGAAACAAGCTGAAAAAACAGTGTAAGGGAAGTCAAATAAATATTAGGTTTTCAAACAAGGCTGCGTCTTCGATTGTTTAAGAATATTGCTGTCCTAAATCTCCTCTTACAATTACGATTCTACGCATCACAAACTGATGGGAAAAAGGTGGGAAGCAACTACGGGAACTGGATTGAGTTGCTCGTCCACAAATGTATTTATTGATCATGAGAGAGAGTCGACTTCAAATACAGAACATGAAATTTTTTTTAATCGATAAAAAGAATAACGTGTTGGCAAGTTCTTGCTAACGTAAACATTAGTTACAAGGTCAAGAGGCAACACTGTACCGTACTGAGAATTTTGCACTGCGTTGTAAACCTCAATCCAAAGAGTAACACATCAGTAAAGATAAAGAACGCTTTCTTAACAATAATTTCCAATTTAAGAGATAACTTGCGGTTTTAAGGAGACTACTGTGCCTGGTGATTATTTTGATGGCCTGCTTCACATCCGAAGCGAAGGATGTAATCCTTCTTTGTGTCTGCTCACTGATTTCGTGCATCGCGATTTCACGATTTGCATCGTTAGACGTTCGCTGGTGTTTTCGATTCAACATACCGTCACGTGCGAATCATGTCAAAGGAATCATGCCAGGTGCGTTCACATTAATCCTATTCTTAACCAAATTTCAATTAATAATGTCTCGAGGATGAAAACTACCCTTTCACTACCTAAAAACTTTTGAATTGTTTACAAATGCGACTCCTTTGTTGTGAATGAACAATCGGATCGGAGACTGAGGTCAGTTCTTCACAAAAGAAATAAAAGATTACCTAACCTCAATAAGTATTCTTGCGGCATAGCACGATCTAGAAACACGAACAATTCACCTTTAAGCTAGAGCTTTCTCGTGAACAAAAGGAAAATTTGTAGCCATCAGTATGTAGGGATATCTGAAAAATTCTTCACCAGTGGGAAGGGGGAAGGAATGTCCACTGCTTACGTATTGTTCGCCTTTAGGCCTACAATTTGTATCATTTTTAGAGCTCATAAGCTATCATAGAGCACGTAGAACCAATTTGAACAAGTTCCGTAGATAAATTGCAGATATCAAAGAGGGTTGACTCTAATCCAAAATAGCCTTAAAATTGATCATAAGAAGAGAAGTGTCGGTCGTTATCAAGAAAAACGAATAGTCTTTGGAAGAATACTCCTCCTCGTCGACGATAAACCCCACATTAAAGTTTCATTGTGTGATATGTACTGTGTACATGTGTATAAATTCCCGACATTTCCTCGTTCCCAATCTTCGCTCTTACTGTTATGTTACGTGGATACATAGTCACTTCCTTCCGTAGAGACAGGACAGAATGGTGAGTGTGATAGAGGTGTATTTCACAGTCCGCATACCCATAAAAATTGAAAAAAATTGCATCAGTTGTCGTACAATGACCTTTAAATGCAAGCGTGGTTGAATATCCGAAAAAATTATGGCTGCTTTCGAGCAAATGAGATCACGCCAAGGTAATAGCTAAAATTTAATAGCGACGAAAAGCTTTACGAATTTGAAACCTAAACAGTCAGCCTGATTGCAGCAAATTAAACTCTTCAAGCTCAAAAATCTATGAAAGCCTAGGGTGTAACTTTTATTTAATTTGGATCTTTTTCAGAGTGGGAATTTAAAAGTCTGCGACATCGACCCGGTGGTCAAAGAAAAAGTAGAAAAATTTCGTCTTCGTAAAGAGAAAACCATAGCCGCCATTGTCCGTAAGTTTTTGACTAACATGATCTTTTTGTGGGGAATTCTATGTAAACTAGGATTTGGTTTATTTCTCTTTTGTAAATATAATGTCAAAAATATACTCAGATGTCCGCTGTGTCCGAAAAGTAGGACTGTCGAATGCTGTGGATAGGGAATGTGGAGAAGGAGTGGGGTGACCCAGCTGTAATAGACTAATATTCCGTCTAGGGGGGAGGAGGGTTTTGAAAACCTCGTTGTTGCTTCATGCTTTGCTAACCAGGAGAAGCGTCAGTGATGTGGTACACAGGCTTGGGAGAAGACTTTTAAGGGATGCTAGTGCAATGAGGCTGCTCTTCACAAACTTCACCTTTTTTCCTCACTATTTTTCCACAGTACACTTATGTTTTCATCTTGCTCCTAGTGAAAGAACTTGATTGATTTGCATTCCATATCTGGAGAGGATTTCCTTTGCTTATCAATTGTCAATTACTGGGGAATGTTCGTTTAAAGCAAAAAATATTGCAACTATCGCGACAGACCTCACCTTTACCTTGAATGTGAACTAGACTCAGGGACATGTACCACTCAGATTTAAGTAGACAATTTCAACTCCAATCTTGATCCTGGATTTTTGAAAGTTTCAAGAATCTAGTTGTGAGTTTCCAGTTTTGGGTTTTTTGAATCAAGAATCCTGTTTGGATAAACAGAATTTGTCAAGGGAACAAGTTTATTCTTGAAAGAAGAACAGAGAAGCACGGCTTCCCTTATCCATGTTAGACACTTTGAATGGTACAGGTCAATAAATTAAAGGATATCTTTTATTTCCCTAAATTTCCCAGTACTCTTTGTATATATCAGTGTGAAACTCTTAAACCTGTAACTCCCAAGATCTCATTAGTAATTCTTGTTACTGTCTGCCATACAGTTCTTGTGATGTTAGTGTGAAGAAACTGGTATTGGATCAACTTATAATCTGCTAATTGATATTTTTCTTCATTCTCATCACTTGTCTGCCTGATATTGTATTGATATTGTAAGGAGAAATTCTGTCTTGGTCACTCCTGGGAGTTAAAAGGGTTAAGTATTAAATTGTTTGTTTTTTTGCTACTTACTTTTTCTAGTCAAGATTGACCCTGACAAACACCTAGTAGTCATAGATGAGGAACATGAGGTGGGTTCATGTTGTGCTAAATTATAGGTACATGTTAATTATTAAGATAGTTGCAAATATTTATTTAGCACTTAAAATTTGCAGACTTAAGAAATTTTGGGAATCTCATCAGTTGTTTTGAGCATGTCCTGGAAGGGGTTTGATATACCTGTCAATTATCAAGGGTAACACAGTGGTCAACCATTGTGCATGTGCTTTTTTTCTGGCTGTCAGAGCAAGGTTCTCTCACATGAGTAACCAACAAGACAGCTGATGTTTCTTTTGTTTTCCTATGACATTTTGGCTCATGGGGGAGGGGGGGGGAGGGCAAAATTGATCCCCTCACACACAACCGACATTTAAGTGCTGTGTTTTCAAGCCTTGGGTGAAAGTCTCATGTGGTAATCTACTGACCATGATTTAGAATAAGCAGTTTTGCTGGCATTTGTTTTTGGGAGATTTACAAGACATCTCAAAGCTTGGTACTCTGGTAACTAAGAACAGAGAGGCAAATTTTTACAGAAAGAAATAATTGAGCGTGTCTTGAGGAGTATTTTTTTGAAAATTTTTTCAATTTTTGACTTCAGACCAAAACAATTAAGTTGTTTAATTGTTACAGCATGCTAGATGACTGCCAAAAACAATTTGTCAAAATTATTTCAAGCTTTCATAGTTTGAAGTGTTGATGGAAGGTCAATTTTGAGCATAATTTACTGAGTCATTAATTTGATCAAGAGTAACAGCTTAATGCAGGGGCAGCTTGGAAGGGGTTTTAATGTATTTATGGTGTTTATGGTTATCAGAGTTTAACTGACAAGCAGTTTGGTTTTGCAGGATATATCTATTGATGACTTAAGAGAGGAACTACCAGATCACCAGCCTCGGTATCCTTTTGGGAAATTAAGCGAATTAATTGTACTTTTTAGCAAAAAATAATTGCAGGGAACTACTTATTAAAAGCTTGAAAAGCCTAGAAGCTGTAAAAACTGTTCTAGGAACTTTTTATTTTATCAGTTGTAGAATATACATTGGCGATGGTCCAGTGAAGTTGTGATTGGCAATGAATGGTTGTAACAACTGCCACAAAACTGTTTGAAATTTCCCAGATTTAGCCATACCCAAATTGAAACATTCCACATTGATGTAAGATTGGTGTCTGATTGGAAGAGATTGTCAAACTCATTGTGGATACTTTTGATAAATTATTAATATTTGTCAAAAACATACATATTTACTTAACAATTTGCAGCTATGTGGTACTTAGTTATGTTTATAAACATGATGATGGAAGGGTTTCTTATCCTTTTTGTTTCATCTTCATTTCTCCCCAAGGTAAGCTCAGAGAAGTTTTCAACACCAGCTGCATAGTGTAGCAGCACCAACTATTCAATTCAATCACTTATCCTTTTCCAATTTCTTACTGCAATTTTCCCTTTTGAATAGCAGTTAAGGATTATTCTATTTTGCCAGATGCTTAAGGCCAGTTATTTACATGAGGTCTAACCCAAACTACAGTTTTACTCAATCATTGGGCCTTGGGATTCCTCAACAAGAGGGTTGTTTTACTTAACCCTTTAACTCCCAAGATCTCATCAGCAATTCTCCTTACTGTCTGCCATGTAGTTCTTGTGTTGTTAGTTTGAAGAATTTGGTATTGGATCAACTAATTATCCCATAATTAATGTTTTTCTTTATTCTCATCACTTTTCTGGTTGATATTGTACCGATATTGTAAGGAGAAACTCTGTCTTGGTCACTCATGGGAGTTAAAGGGTTAAATGAATGTCCTTCCACTGTTAGCTTTCGGCCATCTTTACGCTGGTTACAAAAATAAATGTTCAGATCAAAGGTTCAGCTAAACTGAGGATTGTTTAGGGGGGTATTTTTCAAACAAGGGCTAAACTTTATTCATAAAATAATCAGACCTTGAAAAGTTCTTTCAGGTTTTACTTAGGAGCATGTTCTTTGCATACTTCATTTTTTATCAGCCAAGAGTACCAATGATTTATAAAGTAGCTCATCCAGGAGACCAGGAAGGAATCTGATAAAATCTGTAGGGAAATAAATTTCATTTGACCTGCAGAGTGAAAATTAAATTATACCTGTTGTGACTTGTGAATCATTATGTACATTTAACTTTCTTAGGACTTTCAAATGCACTGAAGTAATTGATGCAATTGATGTGGTTGATGTGTGTTGTTTGACCAGGAAAGAATAAAAAATAACAGAAAGAACTTTCAAATGTTTCCTAGTGCTGATGGTTGATAGAACTTGATGAGACTTATTTTGATGGTTGAAAAGATAGCCTGATCTGCTTAGAGCACAAAAATGAATTATTTCTGATATGCATGTTTCTGAGCAAACATGTGTTGATTATGCTAAGGGGTGGCACTTAATTTGCTAACATGTATTTGAATTCTACACCTGGGCCTCCCAGATTGATTGATTGATTCACTTTGCTACAAAGCCACACATTAGGAGTGGGGCAGCTAGCTTGTGAGGATCATGGCTTTACTTGAGTTTCAAGTGGCAGTTCAAATTTAATTTATTCAATTGCAAATTGTGTATGAAATTAGTTGGTTGTTAGTGGTTATGTAGAGCATGCTTTGGAAATACTCCTATCTCTTTACAACAGGTTGTAACCCAAAATTTCATGTGATGTATTCTGGCACAAAGAACAGCCTTACTACAGAACTGAAGCAAACCAAGGTAATTTACTTTAAACAAATTGTAAATTGGTCACAAATAGTTTGAAAATCATCAGTGTAAGTTTTCAAAACTAATGCATCTTATGATACCAGAATTCACCTGGAGTTTTAGTTGGCCTTCCAACAAGGGAGTGTTTGGTCCAACTGCTGATTCATTCCACATGGGAAAATGTAGTCTTGAGAAGTTTCCTCTCACTCCATTAATCTCTAAAAGTGATGAGCATCTAATTTCTCCCAACAGAATCGCCCCTTAACCCAACATTTATGTCACAAGAGTAAGGGAAATGATCTAACTCAAGATGCTCTTGATTGTTAGACAAATTCTCCTTGCAATAATTACTGTAAGAAATGTAAAGAGAACAGTATGGAGTACTTTAATACCCATGTGAGGGTGAGTAAAAGAGGTACAGTGTAGTTACATAGGGAGGCTTGATGGCGTGAATATAGAAATACATGTAAATTCCTTTTTTTTTCCAGGATTTTGAATTAAGGTCTGTTGAAGAGTTGACTGAGGAATGGCTGAAAGAGAAGCTCCGTTAATCTGCTGTACTTACCATTTGTTCACAGTCATTACAAACAATATTGTAACTTTTTGGGTATATTTTTTTTCATTGACAAATTGAATTGAATGCCTTTGGAGAAAAATTTATTAAATATCATTCATCAAATTTGTCAGTCATTTTGTACTTTCAGTGCCACCTTCTACATAGCTAAATTTGTAGATCTTGAATAATTTGAAATGTAATGTAAAGTTATCTGGTTTTATCAACTGAGTTGATGTTCTAAATTAGCCACTGTTGAGAGAATGTGATGTTTTAACAAGATAAGTGTGTAACTAATATCTTTGTATAATCTGTTCATGTTGTCCTTCAGCAACGTAATTAAAAGTAACAAAATTGTTCTGATGAGGCCTTAAACTGCTGTTTAAAAAGTAAAATCTGAAATTCAATCTTTCACCGATCAATGGCATCATCAGGGATGATGTAACCTGATGATGCCATTGATCAGCAAAAGCTTGGATTTTAGATTTTACTTTTTAAACAGCAGTGTAAGGCCTCATTAGAACAGTTTTATATTTTTGATAAATTTGTTGTTATGTATCATCTGCCTGCTGGATAATACATTAATTCTTTGAGAGAAGATGTCCCCTAAACCACTTCTGGGAACAAAAGGGTGAAGTTTTCAGCATAACTAACTAAGACAGAGGTTGAGGCATGTTTGACAAGGTGACTTGGGCAAGCTGCTTTTGAAACTTTCACAGCACCTTGCTACACTTAGAATACACTCTACACTTAGAGGGTTACTTGCTGAGGTTTAGCACCCAGTCCAGAAATATACATACTCCCAGTTTTTTAGTGCTGCAGAAAACATGGGTAGTTTGGGGCCCCAGCCTGTAAGATGGCATGAGGAAAGATAAGATGGCTACCATTGGCTAGGATGATTTATTTACATCTCATGGCTTAATCTCTTCAGGATAGAGTGCACTGATGAAAGAATGCTACAAGACAGTGACCAACAAGTCACCTTACAACCAAGAATTCAATAAACCATTTTCAAGTTTTTAAAACCCACACTTTTAAAATGGGTTAAGTGCAGGGCCTTTCTTCATAAAATCAGTTATGTTTGCATAATTGTCAAATCAAAGCTTTGCACCAACTCTACTTTGAAAACAGAGGCCCTGTGGATCGGGAAAATAGCTTATTAACAAACTGGTGATCAATAAGTAAAGTACACAACAGTAGCCAGTGGAAACTTAAACCCACAATGTCTGAATATAACTGATCAGAACTAGTTTTCTTTAATCTTGTCATCTGTCTGCTAAATGAAACTCCATGAATATCTGAGAGGTATTTTTGTTGACCAGTTTTGGGGGTTCAAGGTTTGATCCGAGTAAAAGAAAGTTTTTTCATACTGAAGATATCTATATATCTCATCTGTATATCATGTGCAACTCTACTAAAAAAAAAAAAAAACATATCTACCATCCATCATGGACTCAGCAATGGGGTAGTCCCTGACTACCATATTCACATTTTAGAGAAATAAATGTACATGAAGCCCCTCCTCAGATGCTCTTGGACGGAATATTTCTAACTCTGGCTTTTGTGCCATAAACATGGTAACTAGCTTAACCCAGTAAAAACTGTTACAATGTCAGGATCTTACATATTCCAATGCAAGATGTAGTTCTAGGGTAACATTTCACCAGTCTGTGGAACCTAGTGGCTAGAACAGCTAAAATTTCATGAACTACAAGCCACTGAGTATAACTGCTAACTACATACAGCTTCAATATTTCAGTTTGCAACAGCTAGCACAATGTATGAGAGAAGGTCAAGTTTGAGGTAAAAAATCCTTGCCGCCATCATCCACACCACTAGTTGTCTCAACTGACAGTCCCAGTCAAGAAGAGGAAAAAAATTTCAGTCTACAATGTGGCTTTTGAATGCTCCATCAGGCCAACAAGGCATACATCATCCTGAAAAGAAATGTGAAATTACATTTTTTCAACCTGTAATCCTTTCATAATTTAACGCCTAAATTTTGTGATAAGATTATGAAGGGAAAATAGCATAAAATTAACCCTGACTAAGAAGAATATGACTGAAAATGTCTCGGCTTACTTAATCCTTTAAACTACCATGTGTTACCAAGACTTAATTCTCCTCGCAATATCAATAAAAAATCAGGAAAACAAGTGATGGAAAAAGAAGAATAAAAATAAACTTTGGGGGATTATGGGTAGTAGCTGATCCAATACCACATTCTCCAAACTAACATCATATTGGTATCACAGAAAGTAACAAGAATTCTTAATGAGATCTTAGGAGTGAAAGGGTTATCAACTTGCTGTTGGGTGTATATCAAAAGAATATCCCCATATTTCAGGGAGAGAAGTTAAAAAAAATTTTATAAAGGGTGTGAATTCTATATTTGTCCTTTTTTTTTTAAATTCTAAATATAACAAAGTATTTGGAATTAAGTACTCAAATCAGGATGATGACAAATATTGCAGGCATAAAAAACAGCAAGCAGTCTTGCAAGAGTTCAGTGATTTAGCTTGGTATCCTCCCTGTATAAAGAAGTTATTTCATTTTTTCCACATTCTTTTTGGGATCAAACCCAATTTGCTTCTTAATTACTTCCAAATTCAGTGCAGTTTATTTACCACAACAAGCTACATGTATATGTACATGTATCATTATGATTCAGTCCCTTGTACATACAAGAAATTTATACTGTGATATAAGTGATTTGAAACAAATCTTTTTGATCAGCTCATCTCCAATTTCTGAAGTAAGTAGCCACGCAATCAAGGAAATGAATTTGTTCTCCTGGCAGGTGTTAAAATGAAATGATCCATGCAAATGAGGGAGAGTAATATTGTACAAACACTTCTCTTGTTGAATTTTCACTGACTTACCTATAGAGATAATAGAAGAAAGACAGTAGAAAGAATGCCAGTTTAATCCACCCTTCCTTCTGACAGCGAGACATTTCACTAGCATTCATAACCTCTGTAGGGTCATAGAGGCCTGGAACACTCATAACTGGCCTGTTAGCATATCTAATATGAAAAAAAAATAATAAGTAGACTAGCATCTAATTTCTCCCTACAATATCTTCCCTGAATTACACATTAAGGTCATGAGAATAAGGAAATGATCACCAGCCCAAGACGCTCTTGATTGTTAAACAAATTCTCCTTGTCAGCATCTTAGTTAATGTATAGAGAACAGTAAAGAGAATATGAAAACTGATGTTAGGGTATAAAGCATTAAACAATTTATGCAGAGTAAGAAGTTATGTAATGCCACCTAGTATCATCAGTTTGATGCAAGCTTTTAGACAGGACTGGGCCAGGTTGTCATCGAAAAATTTAATAAATAGTAAGGGGGTTGAATTTAATTCATGCTGCATAGTTTAATTTTAATTTAGTTAATTTTCTCCTGGTTTAGGAGGGGGGGCAGGGTTACAGGAGGCATACTCTCTCAGAAAAATTTGAGATTTGAAACTCATAGTAACTTTATTTAGCCAGACATTGATGTTAGAATCAGTTCAGAATTATTTCCTTTCTGTCATAGATCAAAATTCAGAAAGTAGCTGATGCAAAATGGTCTGAATCAAAAAAAATTTATAAATCATGAGTCAAAGGGAGAGATTTGCAAACTTTTCAAGTGTTCTCCCAATATCCCAAGTGGGTTATAGAAAGTGCAGTCAATTGCTTTAATAAAATAAACTTGGAAAAAAAAAAACTAAGTTTGTCTCAATTTTGTACAGCTTTACAGGTGCAATAAATGATAGGTTTTTGACCAATCAGGGAACTCCAAGTTCTTAAGTACATTATAATCTAAAGTAAACTGTTTCTGAGATTGTATCAATCTGCAGAATGCCTTACCTGTGGATATTATAAACTATAAGGGGAAGATTGAACAAGAAAGCTGTCCACTGACCACCAACAAGAAGAAGAAGACTGACAAACAAGTGGACTCCGTATTCAGGAAGTACAAGCTGTCAAAGGAACGAAAACAGCATGTTGAATTATTGAATTCATTTGATATCAGTGCTTTAATTTCTTATATTTAGATTTCCTGCATCAGAAATTACTTGAAATACACTTTGAAAAGAACACTATCCGGAGGACAACTAAGAATTTGGAATATCATCACCTAAGGATCTCACAACTTATGATTGTGTCATGACTGTCAGGCCAGGAGTAGACATGTAAAAGCAATGATTCCACTCCTTACTGGGATAAAAATATTCCAAGCCATTTTTACTTGTTATTTTCCTTCGCTTCTCATCATTTAAACGAATATAACACAAAGGAAAATCAAGGTGGCTTCAGAAATTTGTTAGGAAGAAAAATATTGGACCACAGCATGCCCACTGCACTGTAGACAACACTTGACGCCCCTTTGAAATAATGGTAACATATAAGCTTTAAAACCAAAAGCTTATGCTGATATTCTAAGTAAATTCTATCGCCTCATTTATAATAAATTAATTTCCTTAACAGATATCTCAGTTAATCATATAAACAGTGCTGCATATAATTTCCGTAAAGATAACGTTAAGACTACAAAAGGAATAAAAGAATCGACGGCAGTGAAATAAAATTCATCATAATAACCGACAAAAATTTTCACTACAAACATTTCAAGACAAATATTGTGTATACCAAATGCTAGTTAAAGAACTACAAACCAACACCCTTTGCTAGCTATCGATGACTAAGGGCACCAACTACGACCAGCTTCCAAAATGATGTCCACAATATCAGACGAAGTTTCTCCCAATTTTTCCCTGAAGTAACACGATTTAAAAGGAGAGCTATCGCGCATACAAAACATCGTCAACATACCGGATTTAAATTATTGCAAAGATCCACAGGATTCTTGTAGTCAGTTTTAAGGTCGTCAAACGCTATGATCTGAAATACAATCAAGCAGCAACGACCTTAGTAATCGACATTGTGATCAAAATTCTAGCAAAAACACATACTTACGTTCCAAATTGCGAAAAATATCAAAGCTATGCTGATCAGAATCGCCAAAATAAACGCAAAAACTTCGAAAGACATCTTAGCTAGTGACACTTGGCGCGTTCGCCGGCCAAGGTGAGTAGGCTAGGTCACCAAGCTTGGGTCCCAGTTGACGTGGAAGAGACAGCAGGTGAATGACAGAAAAGTCACGGATCGACGGATTTGACCTTAGTAAGTAACCAGATCGCGTACTTAAGCGTATTATGAAAGGATTACTGGATTTTTAGAGCACGATGGAACAATAGTTTTCCCAGAAGTTCTTTTTTTGAGTTGTCACACAACGCTGGTTGACGATCGTTGTGTGACATCGGTGACAACGCTTGCTAAGGACTATAGACACGTTTGGTTCGATTTCGCACTGGTCTTGGAATTCGAACCTAACTTTCGGCTGTAGATCGTGGTCGGTCTTTGATAGTAGATGTTTGCCTATCAGTTTTGTCCTCTATCTTTAGAATTTGTTTGTGGGGTGACAGGGAGGTATGATTTCCATCCAGTTGCATACTTCATTATGCATACAGTTCTTGGATGAAGAAAACAACACCAAACACAATTGATGGACTTTGGGAATACGGCTTTGTTTTATAATGGTATGGGGCTGTGCAGAAATCTTACCAGGAGGGACTTGGTCTCTAGGGCTATGTGTCACAAAGGGAAATAAAAGAAGAAGACTAGGATTAAAACAAAAACTGCATTGGGAAATGGGATTTGTGCACTTTCATTCTTCTTGCCATGGGCAAATGTGTAAGAGAGTCTCAATGAATCTTTGATCCCCAGGTATTTTTGATTCCACCCTCTAGTGTTCAACCACAGAGCCACAGACAACTCTGAAGTTGTTTTTAGATCATGCTCACTTAAAAGTAATATAACAAATGATACAATAAATGTTTGGAATTTTTCAAGATGTTCATTTATTCTTCGAGAAAAAACTCAAGTAATATGGGCCAATCCAACACTACCCTGAGAGACTAGGTGTTTAGCCCCTTAACCTTAAGAGTGATCAGCATCAAATTTCTCCTTACAGTAATACTCCTGAGTCATTCATTAAGATCATGAGAATAGAGAAAATGATCACCAACCTAAGAAAATTGAATTGTGAAACCAATTCTCCTTGTCAGTGCATGAGGGAAAGCATGGAGAACAGATTGGAGAAAATGAAATCCTGATGCTAGGATGTAGAGGTTTGATATGAAAAATCACTGAATATCAGGCCCAAAGCGATGATCTCTGTTAACTAAATTGTTTCTGTGGAAATGTTGCTGAAAAACTTTTGTACCCAGGCATGATATTTAATATTTAATTGCAATTTTTCTTTATGTCTACCACTGGGGACATAAACTTCAAAGTGTTTTAATTTTGAGTTGAATGAGGCCTTTGCTTCTCCAAAGGGTGTTTTTCAATTGTTTTTATTCACAGATCTCTGTACAATAAAACTATTAATGACAAAATTACATTCCTAAGAACACAATCAGCTAAAAAATAGCAGATATCCCATAAACAAAAGTCCTAGAATGGCTACAGACACAGCCATGGATTTTCTGTTTTCTTTGCGTAGATTTCCCAAAGATTTCTCTATGAATAAAATGCAAGAACAAGCATCTGGAGTAAAGTACAATTTAATAATTATACTGACTAATTGGTCAAGGTGTACCAGTAGGTATTAAGAATTTAACTCCCAATATCTGATTGCTAATTTTCCCCTCCAGCTGCCATGCATTTTCATAATTTTCTTATAAATTGGTTGCCTGAATTTGGTGTTAGATCAAGATAACAACTTCTACCAGATAAGTTTGAGTATTCTCATTATCTTTTTGCTGGATAAGGTATGGATATTATAGGGAGAAGTTACATGTTGATCACCTCTGGGAGTTAAAGGGTTGAGGAGCGGATTTGAAGAAAGCTGAGTTGGCCATCCCTCTTTATATCAAGAGTTTTTAACCCTCTTTCCCTCAAGGGAGAAATAAGTTGGGTGCATCAACTATAAGAGGGTGAAAGAGTTTGGAAAGTCTTTTATAAACATATTTTAAGCAAATAGTGATATACTGATGACATTAGCATCATAACTTTTTTTTAACTGTTCTTACCATGTTCTTTAAGTTTCTCCTGTATCTGCTCTTGTCTGTCAATTAACCCATCTCTAAATTGTTGAATACATTAAAAATTAAAATTCAGTTATTGTTGCCTTGCTTAAGTGGGATGAATATTAATTTTGGTAATAGCCACCTCACTTTACATTTTTGGAATTGTGTTGCGATGGAATAATAAAAATAATAAAATAAAAATTAATCAATTTTTTTCTGACATAAGATTGAATGAAAATGGCTTGATCTTATGATTTCAGTCAACCAGGCTGGCTTAGTTTTGGAGAACACAATTAATCTACAAATCTTTCATTGATGACAAAAATCCTAATACTATCATGTTCATATGAAATGTTGGGCCAGCCTACTCACTGTAAATCTTGAAAGGTGTTCTACTGTTCATCTCAGTAAGAAATCTGAGTCATTCTCTAATATATGAACAGTACCAGTGAAAATCTCAACACCACGAGTGGGATGAAATACTAAATAAATTCAGCGAAATACCCAAATAAAGTAAGAAATCTTTTTCACTGAAATTATTTTGCCTGCTCTCAGAAGTCCAGCTCTGCATAGCATAGAAAAAAAAACTTGGTTTGTCTCCCTTAAAAAGTGAATGCTATAAAATAAACAGTATTAAAAATAAATATAATATCTCTATCTCTATCTACCATTGCATTCAAGTATTAAGTACCTTTCACTATCTGACAATTTCTTTAGCCGAAGTCTTCGATCAATCATGTCCAGTTCATCCTCACAGCCTCTTATATCCTTCTCGACTTCCTCAATCTAACAGTAAAGCCAAGTAAATTGACATCATCTAAAATGCACTGAGCGGTTAGAAGTTTCTCGATCGAGGTTTTATTCAAAGAAGTTTCTTAGGCTGGCTTAAGCCACTGCAAATTTTCATGGTAGCGTTTTCACTTTTGGAAAATTTTCGTTTGTCATGCGTACGATTTGGTTTCAAGGAGTTGAGCGGAATCCATGAAAGGGGAATGACTACGGCCGGGGTAAGACTTAAGAAAGTATTCAATGGTTTCATCCTTTCAGTACCTGGTTAACAATTGTAGCCATCTTCAGCGTAGAGCTCTAAGAATTCGCCACGGCATAGAAATAATATCTTTCTAGCTGTATACGAAACGTGTGTAAAAGTAAACACAGCTTTAGCACGAACAACAAACCACTTAGCTCGAGAACAAAAACAACCAGGCGTAGTAACACGTGTTTGTTGGGCACTGGCACTAGAGTTTTCCACTGACCAGAAATCACTACGTCAATGCTTGGTGTCTGGAAAAACTACAATTCTCCTCTCAGCCATTACAGGTTGTGATATTAACCTTCAACTCCCAGAAGTAATTAACATGTAACTTCTGCCTATAATATCCACACATTATCTAGCAAACAGATATTGAGAATACTCAAACTTATCAGGTAGAAGTTATCTTAATCTAACATCAAATTCTCACAATGAATTTATGAGGAAATTATGTGTAGCAGCTAGAAGGGAGAATTAACAATCAGATTTGGAAGTTTAAGGATTAATGATTTTGACAAATATCAGCTGCTGAATGAAGTTATAATTAAAATGACAAATTTGCATAAAGTTCTATCAGAGAACAATGAGATAATTGATCATCTGCTTCTATAAGTTTTACAAAATTTCCCTCTTTCAATGCCCCCTGTACCCATTTCTCTCCCTGTTTGTATTTTTTTTCCTTTTTCTATTCTCCATGGTCTAAGTGAAAGGATGGTTGACATTAATTACAGTAATTAGACTAATGATGGGAGGAGAAAATGTCAGTCAGTCAATCAATCAAACAATGGGTTGACAATTGAAAAATACAAAAGCACATGAGAAGTTGGAATTGCAAGGAAAACACACACATAACCTAATCTGCATTGAGGTGTCAACAATTAAATGTATTAAATGATGTTATGATATGACATCTGGAATAAATGAGCCAAACCATGCAAATAACTCAAAAAACAATGAAAATATGTTACAAAAAGAATGTCACAAACATTACAAAATTTACATTATAAATGACTTTATTCTGCACTATGTTTAAGTATAACTTCATTGCCCATTTTTATTTCCTGATCTAAACGGTCCCTTGTTTACAAAAAAAAATTTTGGAGGTAGTGATTCCAGCTGTTTTCTGATTACTTTAGATTGTGAATCACAGAATAAATAGCAATACCACTGTTCATGATACAACCTCCAATAATAGAAAACTATTAATAAGCAGTATCTTCAAATTATTGCTTGAGTTGGAGATTGCAGAGGTCTCAAGCAGGAGCCAAGTCTCAAAAGGTGAGTGCATGGGGAAATCCAGATCAGTCATAATGGGGAAGGTTTAATATATAATGCCTCTAGTGGTAGTCTGCATTCTTTCTGAAACTACACATTGTCTGGATTTCAAACAGTCCTTCTTCCAAAACCTATTTTCTCGTAAAAATTGGAAGGTATCAGAGAAAATAAATCAACAATACCTTGCCTCTAGCACACTGTTTACTTCTGACAACAAGGTCATGTGAATTTTCTAATGCCAATGAGTACATGTAAGTACACACATGAAGCTTTCTCTACATATGAACCTTACGGAAACCTCTTCATGTCCAGTATAAAGCTAGGGGAATTTTTTAAATATATACCTCAAGACTTGCAGTATTTACGTTGTATCTCCTATGTTGATTGTGTCTACAAACAACATGAGCTTACTATATACACAGTCTTCTACAATAATACAACCACTACACATACATGTATGATGAGGATGTAGAAATAACTGTAAGTGGACATCAGTAACTGAAGTTACCAGTCTGCAGCACCAGGTGCTAGATAATCCTTTCTTCCAATGTTTCCAGCTTGTTTGGTTTGCATTGCCTCCAACTTTGGACATTCAGTAATTCTGTGCCCAAGACCACCACAATAAGCACAACCACGTTCTTCACCAAGATCAAGATAGCCTTCATTTTCTGCCTGTAAGGCTGCAAGAACTGGAGGCAGTTTCTGTTTTGCTTCTAGTAACAGATGCTTCAGATCCAACAAGACAGATTCATCACAAGATTTGTTAATGAATGTGGTAGCAACTCCAGTCTTCCCACTTCGGCCTGTACGGCCTATTCTGTGGACATAGTTTTCAATGTCTTCAGGCATGTCATAGTTGATAACATGTTGAATATTGGGGAAGTCAAGGCCTTTGGAAGCCACATCTGTTGCAACCATAACATCTTTCTTTCCTTGTCTAAAACATTTCATTGCATATTCCCTTTCTTCTTGATCTTTGTCACCATGGATAGCAACAGCTTCAACTCCCTTGAGCAGTAAATATTCATGAATATCGTCAACATCTGCTTTCTTCTCTGCAAAAATCAGCACAGGCGGAGGAGTTTTCTGTAAGCACTCTAATAGATAAACCACTTTTGCCTCTTGCTTCACATACTCAACTTCCTGGATAACATCAAGACTTGCTGCCCCAGCTCTTCCTACATTGACAGTCACTGGCTTGACCAGAGCACTTTTGGCAAAGTTCTGAATCTTCTTAGGCATTGTAGCACTGAACAGCAGTGTCTGACGCTGCGATTTGAAGTAAGAGAAGATTGTTCTCACATCTTCTTCAAACCCCATGTCAATCATACGATCAGCTTCATCAAGAACCAAATATCTGCACACATCAAGATTGACCATTTTCTTATCTAGCAAGTCCATCAGACGGCCTGGTGTAGCAACCATCATGTGAACTCCTCTTTTGATGACCTCCATCTGATCCTTAACATTAGTTCCACCTATGCAGAGTGCAGATCGCAAAGTAGGAAGACCGTCCAGTTCCAAGGCTCTTGAAAATTCTGATATAACTTCAAATGTTTGTCGTGCCAATTCTCGGGATGGTACAACTATAAGCCCGTAAGGCCCTTCTTGTCTCTGGAATGGAAGAACTTTCTCCTGCTCCAAACTAAACATGATAATGGGAAGTGTGAACACCAAAGTTTTCCCAGAACCAGTGAATGCAATTCCAATCATGTCTCTCCCAGTAAGAACAGCTGGTATGCCTTGGATCTGTATTGGTGTTGGATGTGTTATGCCCTTCTTCTTCAGTGTGTTCAGGACAGCGCGAGGAAATTTCATCTCCTTGAAAGTCTTGATGGGAGGTGGTATATCTTCGCCTTCCACCAGAATATGCCATTTCTTCCTTATCTTATCAAATTTCTCTGGCGGATATGAGTTAAAGTAACGTGGTGGACGCCATCCGGTCTTGATGGAATCAGTGTACACGATTCCTTTCGCAATTTCCCCAACAGCCATCAAGACTTTCTTCTCAGCAATGCTGTCCAAAATCTTCTCTTCTTCTTTCAGCTGTTTTTCGTAGTCTGTTTCTTTTTCGGCTTCCGCTATCTTCTTAAGCTCGCTGTGCTGATCCAGCAAGCTCACGTTGGCCTTCAAGCCAATGGGCGCTTCTTCTAGTTTTTCTTTTTCCTCCAAAGACGTCGGCGCAACATTTTGTGCAGTCTCCGCTGCTGTACTTGACTCTGTCTTTTTCTTCAAGAATTTCTCTCGCTTTTCAAGCTCAAGCCTTCTCCTCTCCTTTAAAGGAACGTAAGGTACGTAGTCTTCTTCATCTGATAACTCCTCTTCAATCTCATGTCGCCTTTTTCTCTGGTTTTCCATTGCTGAAAGGAAAATTCCGTTCGCAAATGAAATCTCGCTCTTCTTTGAACACTAACAAGACTAACAAAGTACGTGAGCGACCGAGCCTTTTTCTCTCTTTCAAAGGCACTGGTAGCTAATTATCCGAAATACTTTGTTTTCTATTACACAACATTATTTTTGACCAAAGCTATTTCCACTGAGCAAAAATTGCAGGCTCTCAGTTACGGAACGGAGTCCTTCATTGCTGTTGGGAGATTATTTTTCTCATTAATGCCCAGCTGAATATTTTCAGACCAAGAAAATCGATGAGCAGGAAATAGAGTGATGGAATTATTTTACTGTCATTTTTTTCTATTGTCTGTGTTGGAGTTATGTCAGTTCGGCAGCATTCTCTCTTATCCATCGGAATGTGTTCTTCCGTTTCCGCGAAGTTATGTGGTCTATCACCTTGGAGAGCAAGAAACCATTGATATTGATGGAAAACTTGACGACAAGGCGTGGGCACTTGTCTCGTGGACGGAGGATTTCATTGGTGATTGGAAAATATATGTTTCTTTTTGGTTGATGTTTCCTTCGGTTTGACATAAAATTGATTGCAGGCTGTGGATAATGCTGGACCTTGTGACAAATATTTCATTCTTTGCATGATCGGATCTTTCCACGTTAAATCGTTTGGTACACTGCAGTCCAGAAAAACAAGGCAGAATTGGCGGGTGAACACAATGACTGTATAACGCGTACATAGTTTTAGCTTGGTTAGGAAATGTCGCATTGAAGTCTTGTTGAGAAATCAGTAGATCTTTCACGCGTATAATTATAAATTCAGTCATGTGACAGGCATAAAACTGCTTTAGGTTTTAAGTTTCTGCTCGAGTTTAGTAATTGAGGGAAATGTGTTGATCAATTCGAAGCTTCAACATCCCTCCTCCTGAGCCTTTGAACTTTTGAAGGTTGGTTTGGCCAAAATTATGTTTAAATGCCCTTTACCCAAGTGCCAGATTTGATGGTCAACTCGTTTGTCAAAGGCAAGATCAGTGACCTTGACTTTCTACTTATTGACCAGCAATTGATTTGACTATTCAAGCTCTAAAATCTAGACCTTGTAGACCTTTTCTTCTAAGCCATCTACTGGCAAAAGCAAATTCTTTACCTTTAAAGACCTCCTTAACATGTGTACTGTGCTGGAAATACTTTGTACTGCTGGTTTAAATTCCCCACCCCCTGGGCACGGAAACAGCCAAATACCTTTGGATTGCTACTGGAAGAGGGGTTGGATATTGAAGCTTTGAATTGTTTGATGCATAAACACCATTTAACTCCCAGAATAGGGAATTAACTTAAGCCAGAGATGTAGGGAGGAACTTGAGATTAATGCAGTAAACTTGAAATGAGGAATGGTAGAAAACACACTGTAAACATGTATGTTGGGACTGAATACTCTGTTTTTCTTATATTGATATAACAGATATTCAGGGAGCAGATTGGAAAAAACCTCGCTTTAGAACACATGCCAAAATGAGGTGGGATGACAAGTATTTGTACATTGGAGCCTTTCTTCAGGAAACTGATGTCTGGGCAAATCAAACAAAACATGATTCTGTTGGTAAATATCAGACAAAGATAAATCTGGGTAAAATTTTTAATATCATACCTTAACACCCTACAGGTATACATGATTTGCAGATAAGCTGTACCTTGAGTTTGGCAACTCATGTTTTGGGAAAAAAGTTTTAATTTTGAAAAGAATCAAAAGAAATTGCAAGTGGATTTTTGAGAAAGCTACTGTGTACTTTATGTCATGAATATGTGTGTCAAGTCACTTACATTGAAAATGGAGAATACTTTGGTTCCTTACTTGATAGGTAGTATACTATTCAATCAATAGTTGCAATTATAGTGTTTTTTTCTCTTTAACCCTTAACTCCTAGAAGCGATTAACAAGTAACTTCTTCCTATATAGTGTCCAAACATTATCTAACAATCTGACATCAAATTATTGTAACTTATTCACATGGAAATGTGTAGCAGCTAGAGGGGAATCAGATCTGGGAGTTAAAGGGTTAAACAGATTGTTAGGTTTGGCTATTAACTGTTGTTATATCCAATACTAGTATAGTTAGCAATACAATTAATGAAGTGTTTATCTTTTATTGATTTGTAGTGTATCTTGATAATGACTTTGAGGTGAGATTTAGCTTATGAATTCCAAAGTTTTTATTACTAATTTACTTTCATATGTGATGTATGCTGTGCACTTTTAACCAGACAATAAAGAAACATTGAAAGGAAACATGTTATTATTTACATCAAGCCCTAATGTTCTCTTAAAACTATTTTTCAGGTTTTCATGGACCCTGATGGAGACACTCATTGGTAAGTTTGAAAGGATAACTCTAATTTTTCAGTCCTCCTTCTAACCCTTCACACCCTAAGATCAGTATGCATATTCTCTACACTGTTCTTTACACATTTCCTAAGGTGCTGATAAGGAGAATTTGTTTGCCAATCAGAAGGTTCCTTCCCTGGTTATCCTTTCCTTTATTCTCATGACCTTAATGTGTGATACAGGAGTGATATTGTAAGGAGAAATTAGATGTTAGTCACTCTGAGGTTAAAGGGTTAAGAATTTTAAAATAACTTTTAATAAAATGTTTTAAGGTTTTCTTATCAACCAGCATTAATTTTTTGGTTTTCTGTTAGGTACAAAGAATTTGAAATAAATGCCATAAACACAACTTGGGATCTTGAATTGAACAAGGTATTTTAGCTAGGATTATTGTTACAATAAGTGTTAAATACAGGTAGAAAGGAAACCAATGGTTCAGTTCCAGTTTGTATATCAAGATCATATCTTTGGATCACAAATCTTTATATTCTTGTTGCTTGTTTGCTAAATAATGTATTGACATTGTACGTGTATTGACATATTTTACATTTTTACCTTTTGGGTGATAAAGGGTTTGCTTCCTGTATAAAATGTTATGTGACTAAAAACAGAATTACATACTTGATTTATAAAAAATCAGACATGTAACAGTCTTATGTTAATTTATAAATTTATTTGCAGCCTTATCTTAATGGTGGTACACCCAACAACAGCTGGGAAATGCCAAGTATGAAAAGTGCAATTTATGTCTCAGGACCTGTGGATGATCCTTCAGTTAAAGGTGATTTAAGAAATGTTATGATGTGTATCAGATATGCAATTATTAATTGTAATCTACTGTAATCTATTTCTGGCAGTCTTCTTTTTACAGAGCTGCTACTGACCAAATGGCGATATTGATTTCAGATTTGCATTGATTGGTTGTGAGGGTCATGCAAGTTTTTAGACCAATCACAGAGCCTTGTTTAACCTTTTACATCCTAAAATCAGCATGCCTATTTTCCATACTGTTATTTATGCATTTCCAAAGGTGACAAGGAGAAATGATTGGTTTAATCAGGGTAAATAGAGACTACTATTGCAACGGTCATAATTAACAATCAAGAGCTGCTTTAGTTGGTGATCATTTCCTTTATTCTCATCACCTTTATGTATGATTCTGGTGTGATACTGTAAGGAGAAATAAGCTGTAAGTCAGGCATAGGGTTCAAAGGGTTGTCTAAGCCTATGCAATCTTGCATTGCATTACACAATCATTTAAAAATGTCTTATTTCATGCTAACATAACTACTGAACTGATTACATCTGATCTTTTTGTATTTTCATGTCTTGCATTTAAGATAAATTCTGGTCTGTTGAGCTAGCTCTTCCCTTCAGTGACCTGGTGGATCACAGTCCTACAGCTTCAGCTCCACCAAGGAATAAAGATCAGTGGAGGATTAACTTTAGCAGGTATTGTGTGGGGGTATTCTCCTGTGTTTTCAGGCAAGATATTTATAATAACTGGCAATTGACACCTTGTGATTTGTCTTACAGGGTTGAATGGCATGTTAGGGATGTCAGAGGACATTATGAAAAGGTTGGTGTTCTCCTTCACTTTATAATGTTGTGATACCCCGAACAAAGACCAAGGGTATAGTTGCTAAAATCCCGTGATCAATTATTGATATTGACTCTACAGTATAAAAAAAATTTGGTCGGTCATATCACTTCAGAATTATGATTTACAATGGATACACCTTATCAAGAACAATCGAAAAGTGTGATAACGTTTGATTTGCAATTTACTTTTGTCTTTGCCCAGATTCCAAATGTCCCTGAAGATAACTGGGTGTGGTCATCACAAGATGCTATTAACATGCACCTTCCTGAGAGGTTGGTTCACTCATACTTAAAAAAAGAAAGTGTCATAAAAAGATAGAAAAACAAACACACAAACAGAAGTCTTTACAGGATGGGTTTTCTCTAATTTTCGAGACGTTGAGCTCAATATCACAGGCTTTTTTTTTTCCCTTGGACGAGAAGATCGCCCCGTTTCCTCAACCCGTTGCGGATAGTAGTTTGATCCTATTCTGGTTAATTTGGACGTACAACCAAAGCCAGAGTAATCGCCAATCAGAACATAAAAAAATATCACGGAAGCCATTGAAACTCAAAGTAAATTCAAGCGAGCTGCCCGAAGCGCGGGAAAACGTACATGGCTAAGTCGCGATCGGGTATAGTCTTAAATCGGATTGGTCGAGAAGGGGTGCGAGTTTTCTGCACCAATCACCGAGCGAAGGAAAGCAACAGCAAAAGCAAAGCAATCCCTTATCACTTTTGTCGCTCCCTCTTCACTTTCCATAACCTGCTATTCTGATTTGCATTTAAGTGCCTATAACTCTTTTGTTCCTAATTACATTACATTATGGACACTCAAGGAAATTTGCAAAGGGCTGAAATACAAGAGAGTTGCTCGAGGTACAGCTGAGTGAAGTTCAAGCCTCAAGAATAGTTCTCAGGCTTCATGAGCCATGTATATAGGGCAATGGCAATATTTCGTGCGATTTAATTGCAGGACATAGCAATTTTGTATCGAGAATAACCCGGGATTGCATCGGTTTTGCTTTACTTTGCTCTGTAATTTGTCCTGGAAACTGTCGCGCTTCTCTCTTAACCAATCAGATACAAAATTAACGCCAGTCGCGACTTGGTCGCCCGCGTTTTCCCGCGCTTTAGACGGTTGTTTTTACATTGATTTCTTATCGGCACTTCAGGATATTTTGCTTTCTTCTGTTTGGCCAATGTTATTACTTTGGTTTTGGTGTTATGACACTCTATCGTAGAGCGCTTGACTGCTGCAGTAGACGCATGCTTGCGCTTTCGAAAAGTTGGTGGGTGTTCAGCTGCTTAGATGGCATTCATGCAGACTCCTTTTCAGAGTTTTTTTCGTTCTAAATTTCAAACAGCCCTAGTTTTTTTTTTACCTTTTTTCCTTCATTTGTACTTGTTTTGTTTGATCCACAGGTGGGGCTTCATTCAGTTCAGTACGGACGCTGTAAATAAAAGTGAGTTTGTTCGTACGCCTAACTGGCCAGTTTACTCCGGCTTGGTAATGTTGTACGACGCGGAGAAGGTAAAATTAATTAGTATAATCTTTTTAAATATATTTCCGGTATTCTGTTTTTTAATTGAAAGCTTCACCGTCAAGCGGTCGGAATGGTGAGGAGAGGGAGGGGAGGGAAGGGAGATGATAGCGTGTCCTTGAATAGTAAAAATCCTTTACCTCTGTCTTGTTTACTACTCGGATTGAATCGCTCTTGGCAAATTGTTCTTTCTTGCTGTTAACAAAAATCTCCTATTTTGACATACTCCGCTTGAAACAAAGAAATTGTTACTCTCGAAGTTTTGTCCTGAAAGAAGAAACAGAACATTTAAGACGCTATATTTTTATCTCCTTTTTTTTTTATCTCTCAGAAATTTATGGCCGTGAATGGTTACTTCACCGCTAACCTAACTCAGCTCGAGATTCCCGCATCTCTGAGAACTGGGCAGTGCCCTTATGAGCCTGCGGTACAAGTTGAGAAGACCTACAACTTTGGGGCAACGGTGAAGCCACTGGATCAGCGGCTTCCTGTTGGACACATTCGTGACGACCGCCTAATTTGGTTTTCTGATGCAAAGCGCCATCTTGAAATCTAAAATTTAAACTGATTCATGTACTGCGTGGTGCTACTGAGTTACAAAAATGGAGCAATCGATGCACGGACTTTCATATTTGAAGAAAGATTTACAAGAGAAATGTTACACTAAATATACAATAAGGTATGGCTATGAGTGATTTTACTGAAAAATGTGAAAAAAAAGAAAAAAGGTCAGGTATAAAAATACTGTACTAAAAAAAACAAAGATCTGAACAATATAGTATAAGCAACAGAACAAATGTTGAAGAGAAATCCGAAATTACAAAATCTTGTAGTTTATTAAAAAAAAAAAAACCTCAACACTCGATAAAGTCATCAAAACTGCAAACTTCAAAGGCGGAATTTCTACGCTCTCATGTGTCAAATTATATGTGAAATTGAAGAAATTCCTGGAAGTCATCAGTAATGTCAGTGGTGTCGATGTTTTTTACCGCGACTCGCTCGGTGACTGTGAACCCCACGCTTCCATTTGCGGAATTCATGTGGATACAGCTCTAATACGTCATCGATCACGTGAACAACGCCGTTTGTGGCGGGTAGATCCAGGTCAATGATGCGCATGCTATTTACGTAAACTCGTCCGTTCCAGGCATATCGGATCCTGAGCACCCCACGAGCCATGGAAAACACAGAGAATTGGTTGCTAAAGAACGACCAGTAGCTGAATTTGCAGTGAATACCGCAAGTGTACAGTGTTCCATTCACCACGTGATGTTTAAGAACTTCTGTCAGCTCTTCAGGGAAAGCGAGAAGGGTCTCCATTGATCCAGGAGATTTCAGCTCCAGTTTAGCAAAAGCCCAATCGGTTGGTGCAAAGAGAGTCAACGAAGCGGCGGGATTCTGGAGGACTGGTGCGAGCGCGGTTGTGTTTATGGCTTCCGCTAGGGTAACGAAGCGAGAGTCGGAGTTGATAAGCTCGTAAATTGTTTTACTTGGCGGCAACAGGACTTTATTAATAACATGGATAACACCGTTGCAAGCCTCGATGTTAGCTTTAGTCACACATGCGCCATCTACAGAATGCACCTACAAACATCAGAGGCAATTTAAAAAAAATAAGTAAATTATATTGCTATTTTTAATATTTTACTTTTGTCTTTGCTTATTGTTTGCTCTGTAAATCGCTACGCTATGTTCCTGAAAAGCTATCTCACTAAACCACGAGAGACACACTTCTTACCGTACTCAGACCTTCATGTAAAATCACGGTCACTAGAATTACACCAAAGGGAAAAGGGTACGAGAGCAACTCCCCTTGAGCTGATCAACGAATTCCTGTAAACAATAACGTGAAAGTCTCTCGGCCGGAGCTTATCCCGGATTCCTTAGCATGAATCGACCAGGAGCTAGGAGTATTACCACTCCCCCCTGGATGGGATGCTAGTTCATCGCAAGGTAACCCCCCTTAATCCCTCTCAGAAATTCGGGCCGATGAGTTCGAAGGACGATTAGTTTGTACAATCATCCAGGCTCTTGCTTTCAAGCTGACGTTAAGTTTTTGCTCAAATTTTGGATGAATGTTCACTGGGTTGGGCACAGCCCGACCCTTCACAGTTAAGTTAAGTCTGTTGTCAGCTGACAATAGCTGATAATCTTTGCATGAAATTTCTTGCCTCGGTAAGAAGAAAGTAAGAAGACCGACAGAAAACTTTAGAAGACAACATCCGAAGAAAACCTGTTCTGAACAGCATGGCTCATGGAGAGAAAAGAAAGAAATTAAAACAAAAGAAACTGCGAAGTAAAACAATTTCCGTAGCTTTCAAGTGAAACATACCTTTCCATATCTAAATGAATTCAGGCGCAGTTTCTTTCCCTCGCTGACAGTATTCACCATGTTATCCTTACCAAATTCGTAAGTCCACTTTCTCTCGGTAACCAAGTGATAGGCAAGCAACTGTTTAAGTTTCTCGGGATCGTCACGTAATTCTTGCTTGGTTGATTCGGGTAAGGCCTGGAAAGCTTTGTTAGTCGGAGCAAATAATGTAAACGGTCCCTTGTCTTCCCTCAGAGTGTCAGAGAAGCCGGTGGAATTGAGGTACTCCACAAGTGTTGAAAGGTTCAGCACCTTAGTTACCTCCAAGAGGTTCATGGCTGCCAGAGGAAAGAAAAGATATGTTCGAGACATGTTTTCCATTTAGCAAAGTCACCAATAAAAATACACGAAAATCAGCTGAGAGAATTTGTCTGAAATTGGCTACCTTTGACTGAATCGTTTAAGATGTGTTTGTGAGTTGTGCCCGTAATAAATGAACCCATAAGGATTCCATGACCCTAATATCAATTTTCAGGCAAATCCTCTCGATCTGCCAAAATTATTGAATCGAGTAAATCAACAACGCTTGAAACTGGGACCAGCGGGGGAAGGGGGGAATGAAGGATGAGCGATGGGTGGAGGTGCGGGTTAAATCAATCAGCGGTGGAGGCTCGAAATCCCTGACTATTCCATAATCCCAGTTTTCCATCGAGACACCCGCTCTCATGGAACCCGCTCTCGCTAGCTACAGTTGATTAGACGAGAAAGAGACGGACCTCTGATAGTTAAATCCTCGTAGGTCACAAAGTTGTGAGGCAATAGGGCTGTAAATTCAAAAGTTCGTCACATATCGACTGAGGGCTGAAGACGACTACTAAACTAAAGAAGAAAAAAAATCGCACCAGAAACGGGCATGAGAACTTTGCCAATGGCATGTATGATGCCATTATTGCCACTAATGTCCACATCTGTCACAGAAGCGTCATTAACCAGAATCTCCTTCTCCCCCTTTATTCTAACGTCTAAGAAGTGTCCTTCGGTAGTGGTGTATCGCTTGTTGTTCAGTGCAGCTGAGTAGATTGGCTTAGGTAGCATGTGGTACTTAATGAATTTCTGCAAAAAAAGCACTAAGCTCTTAGATTAAAACTGATCACTTCGTGCCGTTTCAGCACCACATGTTGTCTATTTTTTTGTTTGTTGGACGGTTCCAATAACGAGAAGTTAATGCAAACCTCTGTTTACATCTAGAAAATTTAAGCTTTTCTTTTTCAAAATCTTTCTTCGTAATCCGTGTTCAATCTTTCCATTCTTGACCAACGTAGGTTTAGTCTTTCCTCTTTAACACTTGAACTTCAGAGAGTGACTAAAATCAAATTTCTTATAAATCTGTCGTTTTCTCCAAACAATTTTGCCGGATAGGGTATTGAGGTAACTGTTAATCACTTCTAGGGGGGAGAAAATTCAAGAGAGGACAACGAACCCCGACACATTCTTCATTGGAAAGAAGAGTCTCCAGTCTTTCGCGGTCCATCACTTCAAAGGCTTTATCAGTCGGTGCAAACAAAGTTATGTTGGTGAAGTTCATCGCGGCATTCTCGATCATCTGTGAGAATATACTGAAGTTTGGATTACTTTTCAAAATGTCTCCAATGTCATCAGATGCTGGACTCAGAACTCGGTCAACAATGTGTATGATACCATTGCTTGCTCCCTCGTTTGCCACAACGATTTCTCCTCCTTGAACAATAATTGTCTATCAAAAAAGGTTTAAAGAAAGGCATGTAATGAAGAGATTACAAAGGGCAATATAAAAGGGGAAAGGAAATAAAACAAAGTAGCGAGGTAGAAGCAGGAAATATAGAGCGAAGGATCTAAAAACTCTAATGCAAAAGATATTGGAGCACACGTTGCAAGATAGCGGGTCTGGTACCCAGCGCACACCATGGCCCAGGCCTTATTTGTTCGTCTACTTCCGCTTGGGTTATCAATCATGTTATGCTGCATGTTAATTATTGGATTAACGTTGCTGATTTTGAGTAGAGTACGTGAGGACTGCTTAGAGTAGCTAAATTTACATCCATTATTTGCTTACGGAAGGACAGAAAAGGTAGGAAGTGGGAACGAAGGAACGAAGGAACGAAGGAACGAAGGAACGAAGGAACGAAGGAACGAAGGAACGAAGGAACGAAGGAACGAAGGAACGAAGGAACGAAGGAACGAAGGAACGAAGGAACGAAGGAACGAAGGAACGAAGGAACGAAGGAACGAAGGAACGAAGGAACGAAGGAACGAAGGAACGAAGGAACGAAGGAACGAAGGAACGAAGGAACGAAGGAACGAAGGAACGAAGGAACGAAGGAACGAAGGAACGAAGGAACGAAGGAACGAAGGAACGAAGGAACGAAGGAACGAAGGAACGAAGGAACGAAGGAACGAAGGAACGAAGGAACGAAGGAACGAAGGAACGAAGGAACGAAGGAACGAAGGAACGAAGGAACGAAGGAACGAAGGAACGAAGGAACGAAGGAACGAAGGAACGAAGGAACGAAGGAACGAAGGAACGAAGGAACGAAGGAACGAAGGAACGAAGGAACGAAGGAACGAAGGAACGAAGGAACGAAGGAACGAAGGAACGAAGGAACGAAGGAACGAAGGAACGAAGGAACGAAGGAACGAAGGAACGAAGGAACGAAGGAACGAAGGAACGAAGGAACGAAGGAACGAAGCAACGAAGGAACGAAGCAACGAAGGAACGAAGGAACGAAGCAACGAAGCAACGAAGCAACGAAGCAACGAAGCAACGAAGCAACGAAGCAACGAAGGAACGAAGGAACGAAGGAACGAAGGAACGAAGGAACGAAGGAACGAAGGAACGAAGGAACGAAGGAACGAAGGAACGAAGGAACGAAGGAACGAAGGAACGAAGGAACGAAGGAACGAAGGAACGAAGGAACGAAGGAACGAAGGAACGAAGGAACGAAGGAACGAAGGAACGAAGGAACGAAGGAACGAAGGAACGAAGGAACGAAGGAACGAAGGAACGAAGGAACGAAGGAACGAAGGAACGAAGGAACGAAGGAACGAAGGAACGAAGGAACGAAGGAACGAAGGAACGAAGGAACGAAGGAACGAAGGAACGAAGGAACGAAGGAACGAAGGAACGAAGGAACGAAGGAACGAAGGAACGAAGGAACGAAGGAACGAAGGAACGAAGGAACGAAGCAACGAAGCAACGAAGGAACGAAGGAACGAAGGAACGAAGGAACGAAGCAACGAAGCAACGAAGCAACGAAGGAACGAAGGAGCGAAGGAATGACGCAAGTGAACGAAGAAAAGGTAGGGACGGACGAATCAAAGAAAGGGCAAACGAAATTTGACAACGTTTAGATTACCTGCCCTTCGTCCGCCACATTGATTCTCAAGTGTGAGCCGTCAAGTGCAGTTATCTCTTGGTTGTCTTTCATTACCTCAGTAACAATCTTACCAGAAGCTATGTGCAACAGCAGCGTTTCGCGAAGTATCTCTTTGTTACTTTTCAACTCTTGTAGAGTTTCTGGCTTTAGTGAAGAGAATGCTTGGTTGGAGGGAACAAAAGCTGTATACCGTTCACCAGACCCCTGCAGCTCAGACACGAGACCAGATATCTTCATTAAATTGGCAAATTCACTTAAACTGAGTGATTCAGCTACCTCAACTATGTTCTTGTCTGACGTGTAAAGCTCTGTAAAGAAAATAAAAGAATCTGTGAAGAGAATCTATTGAGAATCTGTAAAATACAGAGCATTGACATGGTAAAGCAAATTTTAAATCAGCATCGAAAAGCAAGGCAAGATTTCAATGCTTTTGCTCCACTTCGCTTTTGGATTGGTCGAGAAGACTTGCGACATCCTTCGGACTAATCAGACGAAAAACTGAAGATATATGTGTCCCACATTTGTGTGACTCAATAATTTTACTTCATTTCGCTTCACTTCCTTTGGACCAATCAAACGGAAATCTAAGGCCAGTTGTGTTCAGGTCACTTGCGAGACTCAATGGTTTTACTTTACTTCACTTTTTGATTGGTCGAGGAACTTCACACCAACCTTTGGATCAATTATATGGAAAACTGTACCAAGTTGTGTCCTGGTTACTTAATGGTTTTACTTTATTTCACTTCCTAATGTTCTTCTTGAGAAGTTCACTTAGCAGGATTCTGCCTCTGGACTGTACTTACCTTTTGGACATCCGGAACTTTTGTTCACTCTAGCATATCCGGGACAACAACGATACTCTTTCAAAAAATGCTGCTCGGTTCTGTG